GAGAGAGAGAGAGAGAGAGAGAGAGAGAGAGAGAGAGAGAGAAGAGGGACTTACCTGTCGCGACTTACCAGCGCCATAGCTGGGCTCCCGCGGTACCTGCAGTCAAGCACCCAGGTAAGTAGGATCAGAAAGCGCCTAGCTTTCTTCTTCTTCTTCTTCTTCTTCTTCTTCTTCTTCTTCTTCTTCTCATCTCCTTCTTCTTCTTCTTCTTCTCTCCTCTTCTTCTCCTACTCCTCCGAATTCTTCTTCTTCTTCTTCTTCTTCTTCCTCGTCATCAGAGTAGAGATAGAGGTAACTGCAGACATTGTTTGGACACGGCATTCTGCCTTATTGGACACGACATTCAGATCGGACTTGTACTCTACATTGGGATTGAACTGTGTACGACATTCGGAGATCTCTCTCGCATGTCTATGGATCTCTCCCCATGTGTGTGCGCGGAAGGGCAATCTTTCTGATGTCCTGCCCTTCCGAAGTTTCTCTCTTTCATGTTTGTCTATCCTCGTGTCCTTTGGTTATTAAGACTTCCGCTGTGCTGCTTCCCAGCCCATGATGATGATGATGCAAATGTGTTGTTGTTGATTTCTCGTTGGTTTACTCTTTGCATTGTGCACATTGGCATCTTGTGAATGTTGCATCTATGCTGCTGGTTGTTGCCACTTTCATCATTGCTAGATCCTAGGCTTTCGGTGCATTTCACTTCCTGATATGCTACACAGTCGAGGCTTGAAAGTTAGCGGCAGACTGTTGGGACTCACCCCTGCAGCGCTGTGCACTGCATTATTGTACAAGCTGGCGATGAGAGCAAGCTTCTCATCCCAGTCCATCGGATTGGGCTTAATATAATGCCTCAGCAGGTGTTGTACAGCGCGGTTCATCTGCTCGGCTTGTCCGTTTGCCTCTGGTTGGTTCTCGGAGGTCATCTGCAGCTGGGTCCCTTGTTCAGCAGCTGCAGCCTTCCACACATCACTTGTGAAACGCACATCCCGGTCGCTAACAATGGACTTTGGCAGACCAAAGTCCCTGACCCAGTTTTCCTTAAATAGTCTAATCTCGTACTTGGTTTTTGCTATCTCAGGCATCGCAACTAACCTAGCGTACTTACTAAACCTATCCACAATGACAAAGATCTCATACGGCTCTTGCTGGTGACCAGCGTATCCATGAAGTCCATGGATAGGCTTTCACCTGGCCTCTCCGGAATCGGAAGGGGCTTGAGTAGCCCAAGAGGAGCCTGTGTGCGTGGCTTGTTCCGTTAGGACACCTGATAAGTCTCCACGTACAGCTTGGCGTTTTTCATCATGGTGGGCCACCGGAACTGCTGCAACAAGTTGGCTGCAGTCTTCTTGTAACCAAAATGTTCGGTGACATCGTGACATTCTCCTAAAAATAAACTACGCAAAGACTCTCTATTGGGAACACACAAACATTTATTCCCCAACTTCTTGAGGAACAGTAGGCCATTGACCAACACAAACTCATAAGAGGTAATCTTATCCTTCGTATCGAGTCTGCGTATGATCTCTGCCATGAACGGATCCTCGCGATAGTCTTCCACCAATGATCGAGTCACATCGTCCGCAAGCCCAAACTCAATGATCAGCGCACCAAGGAAGTCTGGTCTACGCGGCAGCGCATCAGCAACCTTGTTGTACTCCCCTTTGATGTATTGTGGCTCAAAGTCATATTGTTCTATGACTTCAATCCAGCATTTCAAAGCATCGGAGAGTACCGGTTGGGTCCTCATCCACCTCAGGGTCTGATGATCAGTCCTAACGTAGAAGAATCACCCAAGGAGGTAGTGCCCCTAGTGAGTCAACGCTTTGTAAATCGCATAGAGTTCCTTCTCATACGTGGACTTAGCCAACTTTTGAGACGACATATTTTTGGACATGTACTCTACGGGCCTCAACTTTTTCCCCTTTTGCTGCGCAAGTACAGTGCCAATGCCATATTGGCTGGCATCCGTAGTCACAATGAATGGTTTGTCAGGATTGGGCAACTTCAAGACCTCATGGTGAGTGAAAGCATGCTTCAAGTGCTTGAAAGCAGCCTCACACCTGTCTGTCCACTCCCATGGGTTGTCCAGGCGTGTGAGATCCGACAAGGGTGTGGCCACCGTGTTATAGTTCTTCACGAAATTGCGATAGTAGCTTGTCATACCCAAGAAGGACCTCACCTCAGTCACAGACTGAGGACGTGGCCAGTCACGAATGCTGGCCACCATTTCATCGGGCTTCAATCCCTCCACGCAAATCTCATGACCCAGATACAAGATCCGGGTGCAGCCAAACTCACATTTTTCCCAGTTAATCTTGAAATGGTGCTGCCGAAGGAGATTGAGGACTTTGTCTACATAGGCCGCATGCTCCTCGACAGTCCTACTAAAAATGAGTGTGTCGTCGAGGTACACGATGACAAACTTATCTAAGTAGTCATGAAAGATCTTGTTCATCGCGTGTTGAAAGGTGCCAGGAGCATTGCAAAGGCCAAAAGGCATCACCACAAACTCGTACAGACCGTACCTGGTCTGAAAAGCGGTTTTGTGTTGACTCTCGGGCCTGATTGCAATCTCATGGTGCCCGGACTTCATATCTATCTTGCTGAAGTATCGACACCCTTGCACTAGGTCCAGCAAGTCATCGATGCATGGTAGGGGCTCTGCGTTCTTCACATTGATGGCATTGAGGCCCCTATAATCAATGCACATCCTCAACGTTCTCCCTTTCTTTGGTACAAATAGGATAGGAGATCCGTAAGGGAAGACACTCGGTCGGATCTAACCCTTCTCTATGAGATCCTTGAGTTGTCGGCGAAGTTCATCAAGCTCCGTTGGAGACATCCAATAGATCCTATCCTTCGGAATACTAGACCGTGGGATAATCTCTATCGCATGGATGACCTCCCTCTCAACAACCCCTTTCGGCTCTTCGAATAGATAAGGAAATTAGCGACCACTCCCTCTATCTCTAGAGACATTTTCATCGGCTCACCCTTTGCAGAGACATATTCTAAGTACATACCCTCCTCCGGATTTTGCTTATAATAATTATAGAATGCGGCCGCGCACATGCACACGTAGAGACATATACTAGCTTTATACTTACACAAGTTGGCGGTCCCCCCTCCAGGCAGCGTGTGTTTGACCACTTTTCGGTCCCAGTCAAACTGGGGTTGTGCAACCGAAAGGTAGTACATACCAAGCAAGATATCCATAGGGAGATCATCGCTGACTAGGAACGAGATTTTATGTCTCAGTTCCCCTACCACGTACGAGAAACGACACTCAACGTCGTTTAGGTAGTCATTGACTACCATGCGCTGCTTGTTGGCACAAGTTAACTCCACGGGTCGACTGAGGCGCGACACTTGCCCCTGTAAGCGCAACCGATCAACACAAGTGCGACTGATAAAGTTCCTTGTTGAACACGTATCGTAGCATGCCCCAGCCTTACAGTCGCCTATATCTACCTCGGTAACGAACAACTCGCCCTTAGGGGCTTTAGCAATGGTCATCCAAAAAGCTAACGGGTCTGATCTAGACCACTCCTTCTCTAGCTCCTCTAAGGATTCAAACACATTCATCAAGCAGCGTATCGAATGGTCTGAATGTGATCGCGGGGCAACGTCAGAGTCAATAGCTTGGGCCATCTCTCGAGACGGCGAGGGTGTATCCACCATCTCGACCCTAGCGGGAACAACTATAATTCGTACTGGTCGGACGTGTTTCCCGAAGTAGTACCAGAACTGCTGGTTACATTGCTACCCTGGGAAGCAGAGGAGATCTGCGCCTTCCCCATCGTAGGCCGAATCTTTTCTGTGACCTTACGGTTCTGGCACTTGAACTGTGTATGGCCATATTGGCCACAACAAATACAAGCTGCTAGGGCGTACCGATCTCTCCACACATCCTCACGAAGCCCCGCTTTCTCCCATGGAGGAGCATTGGAGTCGACTTGACTCTTTGATCGGGAACCTTCGAGGCGTCTACCGACCGCCTTACCTTTAGGTACTGAGGCAGCGACTGCTCCACCCCCTGAAGCTTTTGCACTACTTGACTTTGACTACACTCCCAACTGAAAGTCGTCGTCCAACTCTATGGTGGTGCCATCGTGTCGACGAACATGATGTGCCCCTTGGCCTTCTACTTTGGAGGCAGCGTCTTTTTCCTACCATCCGTTGTGGGTTGTTGTCCTTGCTCGATCTTTGTTTCTAGATTTAGGGCCTTCTTGCTGAACAAGGGGAAGTTGTGTATTATGATCATGGCCTCAGTTGCCATCTGATTCCTGATCTCCGTAGGAAGGCACCTCAGGAAACTGGTAAGTAAGACCTGGGGGTCATAGCCCACGCCAGGAACACAGATCAGACGCTCTACCACGTTTGTGGCATCCCTTACTGACCAGAACTTCCCTGAGCTTAGGTTTAGCAGCCCGTCGGTGGCCTTTTGGGCCTCCTGCAGATCATGCCACCTTTCCTCCACCAGCTTGATGAAGTCATCCTATCTCTGGGTGACTGCCCAAGCGCGGAAGTCATGACCGTACCCTTGTAGCTGCATGTACCCACTCAACCACCTTGCTGCACTCCCCTCAAGATAAGAGGCACCCACAAACACTTCCTCGTGAGGCAAGGTCAACTTGCATTTCACGTAGACTGGCACCGTCCTCAACCATGTGTTGAGGTCCTCACCCTTCTTATTATTTGAAAAGGGTTTGGGTGCTGTGATGGCAGTCTTTGGAACCCACTGACCTTGTCCCGGGGCCTGCGCAACTCCAGGCTGTGGGGCCTGGGGTGCAGGTTGTTGCACCTGTTGCTGTTGGGGTTGTGTGCCCTGCGGCTACGCTGGCTGCGAGACATCAGTCTGCAACAGAGGTTGGGAGAACACTGTCTGTACTGGAAGTTGTGCACTCGGTCCTGCTAAGAACCCATATGTCAAAGGCATACCAAGATGGGGAGCAGCATATACCGAAACCGGAGGCAGTGTAGATGGGACTACCCCAGTTACCGGTGGGACAAAAGGAGGAGGTTGTACCACCGGCCAGGCACCTAGCCCGGATGGTGATGGTGAGACCTGAATTCGTCCGACCATCACGGCCAGACTTCTCTGAATGTCTTGCAAGAGAGCAGTATGGTAGTCGTGCATTTCTACTACATCTAGCAGGGTCGTCCTAACGGTCCTTACATCATCATCCATATTTGTCAGGTCCATCTCCTCTAACTCCCTCATGTCCGCTTCTCTTCGTTGCATCCTAGCTTTGCGTTTAATCATCCTCTCTTTCTCTGCCTGTATCTCATCTAGTGCCTGCTGTAGCTGTGCTTCGTGAGCGCTAGCTCGCTGAATGGCAACCTCCTCAGGAGTTAACACTAATTGTTGGTTGGCCATCACACCAGCGGACCGACTCTGGGTCTGTGCGACCGTTGGCCCAACAGTCCCTGAACTACTGGCCTGGGAACTTTGCTGCGTAGAAGTGGCCATTGCGGCCGCTGAGGCAGCTGCCTCTCTAGCTAAGGCCCTACTTGCCTCTGTGTCCCTTGCCTGCCTCTGCCAATGCTGCCTTTCCCTAGCCTGTTGGAACAGAAGACGGTCTCCCTCGGCTCCTAAAGCAACGTGAACCAACGAGAGTCTTTGGCTTGACGAACCCAAGATTCGATTGTCCGGATTAGTGTACTCTCCGCCGCTCATATGCTACAGCCCTGTACACGGTCAGCACTAGGACACACTTTGTTACCTACCGCAGTGTAGTACCTTCGCGTGCACCAAGCCTTACACCGACCAATTGGCTGATCAAGAGGCAGTTTAAGGACAACCCCCAAGGTCCTCAGGAATTATTTAACGTCGCAGACAAAACACGATCACAACCAATGGCAGGTAACCCGCCGGTATTTATTTTTAGACGTCCGGTTCTCGTTTCCCCTGTAGGGCTGGTCGGCCCCTCACGACCTATCTATAGCGCAGCAGGCAGACAAAGGACTAAGCAGCAAAGCATGCGTGCTCTACTCCCGGTGGGTCGGCATTGTGACAGTGACCCGGTGCTTCGTCTAGGGCCCTTCAGATGGCAACGCCCTCTCCTTCCAGATGCTCCACGTGAAAAATGCCGACTCTCAAGCTTGAGCACACTCGACTCGTCGCATGAGAGGACTCTCAAGACAAAACACACATCCTCACGGTAAGAAGTGTCGAAGAGGGTACATAAGGTTAAGAGCAACGTACCTCAAAATAGCTGCCCCCAACCACAGATATTCTCACCAGATGACCTGATGTCGATTGCGATGAACAATCATTGCCTCGGCACAACCAGCATTATACCGCCGTTCCACCTCAGCCTCAATTGTGCGTCAAATAGTTCTCATCACACTGTGAAACACCCCTTATCACCACTTTCAGCCTTCCTGGCGATACCCCTCTCCTCTTGGGTCGCCTGCTTGCCTTCGCTCTCCTCACTGCACACTGCCAATGGTCGCTCCCCCAGCTATCCGCGTGCATGGACCGCTTAAGTAGAACACAAGTGCCAGATTAGCGCATATGTACCACAGCTCCGATACCAAAATGCAAGGAAAATGAGCAATAGCGAAATCCAGAAACCAAGCAGCATCATACATATGAAACCAGATAGTCTTGACCTCGAACCAAAAGCAGAATTGCAACTCGAATTGCACCAAATAAGAGCACAGCAGAGCTCACAAATGACAATGTTGGAATAGTCTCTTCAGCATCACCAAGGAACCAATGCCGTTCCCCTATCTGGCGCTCAGCGCCCAGACTACAGATGGCATATCCTATCTAGCCTATCTACAATGCCGCCGGTGACGTCAACAGCTTTCCGAAGTACGAGCAGATATCAGCCAATGTCGTTTGCATCAAGCACCAGGTATGTTCCTCGCTTCACTCACAACCTTGATCCTCCACGCAGATGCCACATGCACCCAAAGACCACCATGCGCCCCATCCAGCAACGGGCAGGCCAGCCCAGCTATGGCTGCCTGCGTACACCCTGCTCGCCCGTGACCGCGTAGGTACTCGCTTCAGCAGCTGGCGCAGCAGCGCTTGCGCATAAGCAGCGAGTGCCCGAATGTTTGGGCAGCGGCCAGGCCCTTTCCTTTATGGAAAGTGGCTGGCAGTCATGGGCTGCCTGACTGGCCTGAGCCCCTCCCGGAAGCTTCCGGTAGGCCCCGAGTGGCTGAGCCCCTGTCCCAGGGAATCTTCCACAGGGCCTGGGGAGGTTACCCTTGTCCAACTGCCCAGTGGCCTGTGTCCAGCTCATGCCCCGTGTCTGGCCCAGGGCCTGCCTCCAATTCATTTGGAATAAGACCTGAAGGCCCGTAATGTCAGTAGGCAGGGCCTGGGCTCACTCAACCAGCTGGCGCTGCGTAACTGTCTGAATTTTCCCCCAGTTGCAACCAACGCAAAAATAGGCCTTTCATTACTTGGCAGGCTCACCTTCACTTAGGGCGGCCATGCATGCTGGAAACAGGGTCCCGGTAGGGCTTGCCGAGGCTTAGGGCGTCGCACTTGAAACCCGGCCGCTGAAAATGCAATGGCCACAGCATTTCTACGTCAGCAGGTGTCAATCCACTCCCAAGTCCAGATCGTGGATGTCTTACCAAGTTTAGCATTTGGTCAGGTAGTTCAGTCCGTCTAGGCCTATGTAGCGTCAGGCTGGCATATGTCCAGTAGTCTAACCCAGCCCCAGGAAATGTCAGTGGCCCAAAATCCTACGTAGGCCAGTGACAACTGGGGAAACATCAAAGGCCGAGACTCCCAAACCGGCAAAGAACCAGATCAACCAGGTCCACAACTCCAAGGCCTAGAAGTATAAAAGGCCATCAG